CTCCACGCAACCCCTTTTCGTGAAAATGCAGTGTTTGTAAGGGCTCCAGTGCATGCCCAAACCCCCGCCACCCCCACCGGCTCTCCACTTGCTCCCCTCCCCCTCCCACCCCTCCCCTGAACACATGCCCATACCCCAGCGCCTCCACCACCCTCATCCCCCCTTCTCATCCCATCATTGCAGCGCTTGCGGGTGCCACGCTTCGTGCAGTGTTTACCCCCACCACCCCCACCCCACCCCACCCCACCCCACCCCCCACCCCACCCACCCCCCACCACCCCCGACTATGAAAGCCTACAGCTGACCCCATCGTGAAAAGACGCGCGCCGGGGGGGCGCGCGCGCACGCCCCCCTTTCCCGGTTTGCAGCATTGGTGGCAGCCTCGAGCTTCTGCCTGCGCTGCAAGCCAATGGGCGCAGCCCCTTAAAATAAGCAACTTAATTATTATATGTGCATAAGCTAACCTGCCGTCCTGGTCTCTTATTTTGAAGTTTGAACTGTGGCTTTGGCTTTCTGCGCTTGGCGTCGATGCCATATACTCAACGGACAAAGCCGACATCGCGACGACCGTGTTTCACGAAGGCGACAGATAGGTTGAAAAAGGTGTGACAAGAGAGTTACCAAGTTTTCATGAGTGACTCTTTTTCGGGCCTGCGGGTTCAACTCAGTTCGACTGGACGGCTCAGGACAGTTGGGAATCCCAAGCCTTCAAGACAGGTCCTGTGGAAAAAAATGCGCCGGTCAAACATATGTTACTACACTCTCACTGCCTGTGAAAACATTTTGGTCAAACAACAGTATTTCCTGAAGGCTATGACAAACCAAACAGACGCACGGCTCTTGAACGCTTCAGGGCTTTACGTGCAAGGACCGTTCTCCCGCGTGCCACAGATCAAAGCGCCAATGAAAGCCCTGCTCGTCAGCTGCTCCTCACCTGCTAAGCCTACCAGTATCTACCCTAGGTTCTAAAGTCCTGCCTGCAATCTTCCCCGAAGAAATGGAATGCACGCCTAGGATGTTGAAACTAAAGACCATCCAAGCCGGGCACAGGTCGACACCGCCAGCCGCTAGTTTGCAGTGCGTCGAGGCGGCATCCAAGGTTTGTTGTGCGGAACGGGCGCTGCTCAATTCATGCTATTTGCTGCTGTGCTTTCGCCCTTCTCAGGCAGCTGCCTTCTGATTCGTGAAGGAACACGTACCATGTAAATCGTACCATGTCAATTTTGAAGACGTCTGTCGCACAGTTCATGATGCTTGCCGTTTATTCGCATTTCGCCTTCCAAATCGGAACATGTCTTGACGCAGGCCATGCAAAAATCGAGGGCGTCTGCCTCTCTGTTGTGCTGTTCACTGCTGTTCCCTCGCATTCTGAAGACAAAGCTTTCCAAACTGTGAAAGAACATGTCCTTCTCGACGCGTACCTTGTGAGTTTTGCCACTGCTTTTCCAAGTCGTGACAGAACATGCCCTTCTTCAGACATGTCATGTGAATTTTGAGGGTGTCTACTGCTCAGTTCATGTTCCAAACCGCGCTTCTTGACACAGACCAAGGGAATCTTCAGGGCGTCTGCCGCTAAGTTCATGCTGTTTACTTCAACAGCCACCAGCAAGGGTTTATGGGGTTTGGCAGGACTTGTGAGATTCGCTTTACCTTCTTCTCTTCTGACCAATTCGCTCCCCAGGGGCCTGTGAACAGTGTCCCGAACCATCTGCTATGCAGGGTTTACGGTTCGCGCATGGGATCGCGTGGGTCTGGCTAAGGGCTCTTTGCAAAGCACCCTAGTGATGCGTTGGAAGGGGTTCCTGTGTTAACTCTCCGTGGCTGCGGTTGCTGGTTCACGTCGTTCCGGTCGCTGGCTCCAACGGTTCCTACACTACAACAATTTCCTGTAACGGCCACCCAGTTCTATACAGCCACCCTTGACGTCATTCAGTGCCGGGGGTTGGGGGCTTGCTGTGATCTGCCGTGGAACTCTGCCGGGGGGCCTTGTGTTGACAACATGTTCCAAATGTTTGGGCAGCTGCTTGCTTCGTTTCTTTGCCCACCCGATACTCCAACCATGCTCTCGGGTTGAGGCTTCCCCCTTAGGCTTCGCAGTCGCTGCGGGCCCACTCGCACGGAAGCGTCCCCAGTGTGGGAGCTTCTTCAAACCGGTGGAGCCTAGCAGAAGAAGTTTTCGAAAGTAAGCAGAACACAGTAAACCCAAATTGCCAAATTGCGACTGAGCAAAAACAAAGTAGAAATACACTTGAAAAGTCCCAGTGTTCGCCTACTTCTTTTCACACGCCCGCTGTCCAGGCTTCCTGCCTGCTGCCGGAGTTTGCAAGCCCGCCAAGTCACTCCATGTGCCTCACCTCACATGCGAACTCTTGCGAACACTTGCGACATGGGATCCCGAAGGGCCGGCCAAAGAATATGACTCTCAGCAACTTATGCCGTGCAGGAAACAAACAAGAATGCATTACACCATCATACCAGAGCATGCAAATACAAGCCCGGTGTTCGGCAGTTTGTCTCTCTTCTACTTCTTCTTCTTCTTCTTCTTCTTCTTCTTCTTCTTCTTCTTCTTCTTCTTCTTCTTCTTCTTCTTCTGCGCCCCCCGGTGCGGGGAACCCGGCCGCGAAGGAAAAATGGTTCTCTGTCCGAGCGGAAACTCTCCCGGTCTTCGGCGGTTTCTGGTTCGTCCGCCAGCTGCCTTGAGCCGGCAGGCTCCATAGTAGTTTCCGTGTGGGGGGTGTCGGTTAAAGGTCGCTGCTCTCAGGGGTTCCCCTGTTGTCTCACAGTCTGTGCCCAGGGCCCCCACTGTATCGTCAAAGATGTCCCCCTCCCCCTGTTTTTCTTCTTCTCTTCGGGGCTTGAGGGGCTCAGGGGACCCCACATGCAGCCGCGCGGTTCCGAAGTGAAACTCAACATTTAGACTGCCTGGCCTGGGCGTATTCTCTTTCCCCGAGAGATTGCTGTATGCGACGACCTTCCCCCCACAACGTCCCACCCTGTAGAGTATGCTGACTCCCCTCTCTCTCTCTCTCTCTCTCTTTTCTTGGGGGCATGAGGGCCCGGGGGCCCCCACGATCCTTGCCACGATCCTCTCTCTTCTTCTTCTTCTTCTTCTTCTTCTTCTTCTTCTTCTTCTTCTTCTTCTTCTTCTTCTGCTTCTTCTACGGGGCTTGAGGAGCTCGGAAGGCCCCCGCGCACTGGGCGCGCCCAGACCAAGTCCAGTCTCGGTGAAATTTCGCAGCGAGGGTTCTGACCCGACTGTTTGGAGTTCCCCCATATCCGATCCCCAAAAACACCCGGAGCTAGACCACAAATAAGGGGAACTCTCACGTCTTTCTTTCTTTCTTTCTTTCTTGGGGGCGTGGGGGCGAGGTTTGTCGCTGTGCGCCTGCCCCGACTAGCTCGGTTGGACGCGGGTCTCTCTTCTTCTACCCGATTCTACCCAGCGAAGAGGACCCCCGAAAGGAGCCCCCGGCCGCAGTGGCCCGCCGCTCTGTCCTCTGGTGAAAGAAGAAACCCCCGAAACGACTCATTGGTGTTTTTGGAGGGCCCCCGGGTGGCTGCCCACTAAGCGGAGTTCACTGGTCTGGTTTCATCTCGCGGGCTTCGCCTTGTCGAGCTGGGTGTCTGGTAGTCGGTTTTGTGCCCCCCGGCCCCTGCGACATGGGCCCCCCCCACTCAAGGACGTTGGGGTCAGCAGCTGCATCCCAGTTGCGGATCCAGTCCAGGACGACCTTTCTCCAGACGTCGGCATCGATGACGCCCCCCTTCTTGATGCCGAGACGCCCCCCGGCTCCTCTGTCCCAGGTAGCACTGCCACGTGGTAGTCGGTGCTTCTGGCCCTCTTACGGTGTTGGTGTGTTCGAAGAGCCTCCGTCTCCATACTGTGGCCTCCTTGAGCAACCGGGCGTAGTCAAAGGTGTCCCTGGGCCTGTTCCACGGCCTCAGGCAGTTGGGCTGCGGCCTTTCCTGTCTTCGCGATGTTGTGGGCGGCTGCGGCGGCGGTCCCCCAGGTGGTGCGGTCCAAATGCTGTGCCTCCCCACTCCGTCATGGTTCTCCCCCAACACGTTGGCGACGTCAGGCGTCCGTCTGGGGGTCCTTGGTTTCTTCGTGGCTTTCCTGGTGTTGGTTATCGAGCTCCAGGTCGTCGTGGTCGGTCGTCGTGGTCGTGCTGGCACTGCCTAACATTGTTGGTCCGATCGGCTCGAGGCCCCCCCATCCCCCTGTCCCAATTGAGTCAGGAGGGGCCTGGCAAGGTTGGTATTCGTGGGGTCCGTCGATGCAAGGTAAGCTCCTATAGCCACCTGTTGAGGGCCATGGTCACTTCGGACATGAGCCATTTTTTTCCTTGATGTAGTTGTCGATGTTCTTTTGCCACTCCTCGTGTAGCGTGCAGTCTCGTTCCCATTCGGCCTGGCGCTCGTCCTCTTCCGCGCCCTCCGCCTCTACTCTTCATTGCTCCTCGATTTCCAGCTCGACTTCGTGGTCCTGCGACTCTCTCCATCTCCTCGTTTCTGTGGTTCCGCGGTCCCCTCGCTTGCGCTTACGTCCTTGAACCCAGGTCACCTTGTCATCCTCCGCCGTCATGTTGTTGTGTTCCGCGGAGTCGGCCAAGTGGTCCCAGGGCTGCTCTCCCTCGTTGCCATTGCTGTGTGTCTTCTTTTTCGAGAACTGCTGGATGAGGGCCTTGCTCGTTCTGCGTGTCCCTTTGGCCCTTCGCAGTCGGTCTCGCTGGCTCGCCAGGTTCCAAAGCAGCGCGTCGATGACGCCCTCTGCCTCCTCCTCGCTCCTGGTGCCGTAGCACTTGGAAGCTCTGCGTCCGGTGTGCTAGCGGTCACTTGCTCTGCCGCCGATGTTTGGTCTGGCACCAGGTGTTGACCCTCTGTTTGCGGACCGGTCTCGCTCTTCTTTTCCCGGACGCGACACTGATGCTCATGAAGCCATTTTGCCCTTCTCTCGCCCTTCGTCCTTCTCTCGCGCCCTGCCGCCCCCTCGCTTTCCCATGTCGCTGGAGGCCCGCGTCGCGAAGCTCGAGGACGGCCTCTCGGATTGGTCGGCCACCACCCGTACCAGATGGGAAGGGCTGAAGGCCCTGGATGAGCGCATGCAGGCCCTGGTTAAAGCGAAGACGGGCCTATGGCAGGTCAAGGATGAGCTCTACACCCTTGTTATGTCGGATTTGGATCCGTTGTTGGCGCACATTCCGAACCCCTCTGTACAGATGCAGGTGCGTGCCGAACTACGGGAAGTTCTTTCCGCCAGAGAGGAAATCGTGCGCGTCTTCCCCGTGGGTGGAGAGTGCGGGCGGCACACCGCGTTGGACCTTCGGTACAAGCCTTCGCGTCCTTTCGCCTATGCCAAGCTGTTAGAGCAACGTCCTCGGGCCTCTTCTGAAGCGGACAGCGCTGCTGTTAGGGTTTGGGGGTGCCACTCTCCACTGGCGAGATGGCTAAGAAAAGCAAGAGGCGTGCCTCTTCTGAGAATCTTCCTGGCCTGGCGTCGCTCCCCGAAGAGGGACCGTCGAGAGCATCGTGAGCATCGTGATGGTGACCGGCGGTAACCGCCTGTTTCTCATACATCGCGTTCCCCCCCTTCGTTTTCCATTTTAAGTTGTTTCTCCGCGGTGGGGACTTTGGACTTGACGCTCTGTCTCGCAGGTTCACGCTTTGTCAAGTTGCTTGAGTGGGCTGCTGTTTTCTCTCTCTCTTTCTCTCGCGCTCTCTCTCTCTCTCTCTGTCTCTCTGTCTCTTGTCTCTCGGTCGTTTTCCTTCTTCCTTTCCTTTCTCGCTTGGAGGCCTTGCTTGCCTTGTGATGGTGGCCTTTGTTCGTTGTTTCTTGGCATGGCTAACGTGGACTGGGTCGGTTGGGAGGGTTGGTAGTTCTTCTTTTCTTTTGTCAGGCTGACGGGTGGTCAAGACTGGCCGGACTCGCCCGACTCCGACTGTTGCGAGCTGTCCCCTTGACATCCTTCTTAGCGTGGTAGTCAGTCGTCGTTGTGCGGCTTGCCCAACCTCACAGCCTTGTGACCAGGTGCAGGTTCATAGCGACGTCGTTCGTTCTGTCTCTCTCTGTCTCTCTCCCCCCCTCTCTCTTCTTCTTCTTCTTCTTCTTCTACTACGGGGCTTGAAGGGCCCAAAGGACCCTCCGCGCGCACAGGCGCGCTCTCTCTCTCTCTCTCTCTCTCTCTCTCTCTCTCTGTCTTTCTTTTAATCTTTACTCTCATTCTCTGCCATGCCTTTTGATGATTCTTTGCTTGTCTCTCCTTCTCTTCAAGGCAAATGGCTCTTCGAAGAAATCGTCGACGTACGGGAAGGGCCTATCCTCGGCTCTGAGAGTACAACAAGGCGCACCTCTGCAGCTCTGAGGATGGAGATGGAGAGATTTAAGTCTCACATTAGTCTCACGGTCTTCAGTCTGTCTAACAGCCAGGTCTCTGGAATGGGCTGGCCAAGGAAGTGGGACAAGGCCGCCCAGCCATCTGAGAAATGAAACAGCAGCAGCCTGTGAGATGGAATGGTGGCCTCTGCGAAGGGAAGTAACAGGGTGCAATTCAGCATGCGACTGGGAGCGCCATGACGCGTAATAAAGCGTCACACCACTCCGAAAGCCAGTTTCAACTTGACAGATGCGTTTCCGACACGTCATCTGGCAGTGAGTCTGAGAGCTCAACGACAAGAGCGCATCACGCAGGGCATAGCTACAAAAAGCCTGACGTATGACGTATGACGTATGACGTATGATGCATCTTTCATGGCCGAATCCGCCAACTTGATGCCCAACCCTCCTATTGCTGACGAAGCTTCTTGTGGATGGTTTCAAAAGAGTTTTCAGACCTTCTGACCTCGTGTTAACATCTTACCAGCCTTTGTACAGGTATCAGATGGCATCAGCTATATAGCGTTGGCACGCGCATCCAGAACACTCTTCAACTAGACATCTCGAATTTCCCAGACTCCAGACACTGCTCCAAGGAATTCAAAGTCGACTTGGCATGAATTGAGGCTGCTATGCTGCTATTCCGAACGACAACTCCCATTGTTCCCACTTGAAGCATTTGTTATGGCTTAACAGCGGGTTCCACTTGAGCTCAACCCCTCTGAAACATACGCCGCCGAACCCATAGGCTGAGCCTGCACCGCCTCGATGTGTGCCCGGTATGAAGCGACACATCGTTCCCGGTTTGGCTTCCCAGTAACATTCCTTTGTCCATTCGAGGCTTGTTAGGCTCGAAGTGGCGGTTAGCTGAGTGCTTCGATAGTGCTTCGCACAATACGTTGCCCTTGGAGTTCTTTCTCTTCGGATGCTGCGGGCCCCGTTTGCGCCTGTTCATAGATATTCCTAGATCTAAGATCTTTGCGATTGTGTGGATGCAACTTGCCGGAGGGCGCCGCACACTCGAATGGTCTGAGCGGGATCCCATAGTAGACCGAAAGTTCCGAACGTACCCCAAGGGAGCCTGGTAGACGGTAGACCCGGTAGACGCGAGGAAGAACCAAAAGCATTTAAGGGTGCAGTGCACGTGCCCTCAGCAAAGTCTGCCAGATTCCCCAAGGCACAGGAAGTCGCAGCCCCAGTTGATGCAGCCACTGCAGGTCCTCTGCAAATTGGGAGGGCATTGAGTCACCTTGAGTCGCGCAGTTGTCCTCGTAAGTGACTGTCAGATTGTGTACTCGTGAACTTAGCTGACTTAGCTTCACACTCCTGCAAAGAGAGCCGACCCCAGTCCTCATCGAGGGGATCCGAAGGGTCATGGCCGCCAAGTAATCGAAGCCGGAGGACATCTCATGGGTGGCTGCGGCCTGGAGTCCGCAGTCCCAACATGCAAAACGTTCCACAACACAAGTCCGTTTATAAAGTTTATCAGGTTCCACAGTTCCATAAGTGTTCCATCTGCGCCAATCGACTTGAAGCTCTGGTCCGGCCGCATCTCCGAGATTCCGAAAAGGCGACTTCGGGGTTTAAGGGTTTAAGGCTTAACACGGTAGCCCCCACACATGTGAAGCCGAGACCCGAAAGACGCTCACAAAGGAAGAAGGACTTTCAACTTTCAACTGACCTTCGCTCCTTAAAAAAGCGACACGAGATCGGGATGCGAACGGCGAGGCATGGACCCTCAACTTCCGCGAGGGTCTCCCAAGGCCTCCTCAAGGTCCATGTTCAGGTCTTGGCCCGCGGCGAGGACGTTGTCCTAAGGTGAGAGGAGATGCTTCTAGGATTTTGAGTTCGGATGACGGAATGAACCAGAATCGACATGGATCGAACGCAGGGTTCGGCTCGATGGATGTCGACAACAAAGGGTTGCCACTTTGCAGCTTGCCGGCAGCCGGGGAAAATCGGACAGACGCCGAAACCCCCCCCCCCCCACCCCCTCCCAGCCAAACACAAAAAAAATAGGCTCAGCCCCAGCATCATACCACTCATCGGGATCCTTTACCGGCAGCAGAAACTTGGATTCTGGAAAGGCCTCCATGACCTGTGCCACAGGCAGCAAGCAGCAAATAGCCGCAGGCATTCGAAGCTGCAATAGAAGTCAGAGCCGCTCTATGCTCTGCACCTCCTTGTAGACGAGATGGAAAGGCTCGTCCATGGCTGTGTCGTATCCATCCAGAGTGCGAAGCGCAGGCTCAAGAGCTCCGCCTGGGTTTTGCAGCTTTTCATCGTTGTGGCCGCGGTCAATATTGACCCTCAAGTGTTACGTATTGGGGGGCAGCTGAGAAGAGAAGGCAAGCGGCCGCCAAAAAGGTACTCGCACCAGGGCAGCCTCGCCGTGTAGTTGTAGCTCGTGTGCAGCGCCCGGAACCCGTAAACCTCCAAGGCCGCCTTCAGCCTCGAAAGGAAAGGCGATGGATTTGGGACTACCTCTTGACCAATGATACGCCGAGCTTGATGACTATGGGAGAATCGAATCGCTTGTTCCAGAATTCCCAAAACATCGCAACATGTCTCAACCTACGAGGCAGACTTGAGGCAACTTCAACTTTTTTCGTTCCTGGCAGCTCTCGGACTCATTCGGCCTTCAGTCACCTATATCCTCGCATCCACTCTGCCAAGGGTCGTTTGCGTGCCTGTCCGTGGAGGCCCGACATCCAGGACCTGAAACGCTGCCGCCGTGGCCAAGGTCACCAGAAAGCTGCCATGACACACATGGGACATGGAGTCGCACTTTGAAAACTGTCGGTTCATTGTTCTCTTGTGGTGCCCGTGCTGCAGATTCATGCCCATGGATTTCTCGAGATACATCACGAAGGGGGTTACGGTGATCGGCGAACAGCTGCGACATGCACAGATCTCGTTGCAAGCTCTCGGCCCGAGCACTCCACACGGAGACAGATAATTAAATGGCGTTTTGACTCCCTGCATGCATATACTTTCGATAGACAGTGCACCGCATTGCACGAAATACAAGCCTTACCTTCGTAAATGGCAGTCATTTGTGCTATATATGGCAGATCTTGTGAAGCGAACCTACAACCGGTCCACAATTGCTACTGCAAGAGTGCCACATTTGTGCCAGTTGCATTTTCGGAGCGCCAGCATCAACTCAGGCCGTCAACCGAGTTGCCACCATCCTCTCTAATAATTACTCTACTAGTCTGTGCAAACTCTAGCGGCCAGAAGCAGATTTGACCGTTGTCGCTTTCAAGTCCACTTCAAACATTCTCCGAGCCGCCGCCGAGCTGATTCACAGGGACAGGTCTGCCGCGAGCAAGACGTGGTCTGACGGCTGCCTCGATCTCTGGAAACTCGCATCCGAGGAGGCTCGACACCATGTCCAACAACATCTGAATTTCGAAGGGGTGAGGAAATTGAGTGATACTGTAACCGGAAACCGGGTCAGAGTCCAGAGTCGGAAAACTGAGCTGAGGCAAACACAACGCAAACATGTGATGGATTAATTTGTTCGCCCCGCCGCACAGCCGGACGACCTGCGCTCGGGGGTTTGGATAGGTCCTGTTTGAGAAAGAATGCGCAGCCTTGCCATGTGTCCACGTCGACACGTGCCGACGAAAAAATCTCAAATCTGACCTCATAAATGAGATCATTTTTGTTGCCACCTGCCAAGCAGACCAACCACACTGCAGAGTAACAACTTCGGAGATTAGCTTTTCAGCTTTTTTCCTTCTTGCACAGCTGGGGCGAACCGCGGGGCGGCTGACGAGACTAGCCGGTTAACCACCGATGACTTGGCCACCATACATAGAGATTAGTTTAAGTTTGAGGGGTTTGGTCAGGGCTTCAAGTTGGGGAAATCACGGGTTTCTCAAGTTGGGCACCAGAAGGCCCCTCCAACTTGAAGCCCTGATTTCGCCGAAGGGGCCCAAGAAGCGGGCCCAACTTCAAACCCTGATTCCGTCGGAGGTGCTTTCTTGGACCCAACTTTGAACCCTGCTTTGTCCGTAGTTGGGCCCAAGAACGTCCCTCCGGCGAAAACAGGGCTGGCCCAAGAAGGCCCAACCGGTGAAATCAGGGTTTCAAGTTGAGCCCAATAAGGCCCATCCGAAATCAGGGTTAAAAGTTGGGCCCAAGATTTCAAGTTGGGCCCAAGATTTCAAGCTGGGCCCAAGAAGGCCTCTCTCCGGCGAAATCAGGGTCTCAAGTTTGGGACCAAGAAGTCTGGCCAAACTGCATCGCAAGGAGTGTCAATCGAAATCCAGAAATGAAAGCAATGTCAAGCTCATCGTTTTTCCTCCTGTGCAGCTGGGCGAGCCGCATCGCAGGGGCGCGTGTCATCATGCGTCATCGTTTTGGAATGGGTTAAGACACTCACACTCGCACACAAACAGGATCAAGCAAGGGTTAACGCTTTCGGGTTTGCGGCCTCCAATGCAGCCAGCATCGGAATCTTGTTTTACATGGTCGAGGTTTGTTTGGTATGCTATCGGGAGGCCGCCCTGCATACCGCTTTGTAGTGAGAGGAGATGGCTCTTCGTTTCGGGGGTTCACATTTTCCGACTCGGGCCGAGAGGGTTCCGAAGTAAATGGCTGGACCCACTCTTACCAAGTAGACTCGTATACCATTGACAACCAGGCGGCTCAGCCGTAGGAAGAACGGGAGCCCCGAGCGGCACTTGGGGCGGGGTAAGGACTTGCACCACCTGCATGGGGCCACAATGGCAAGCGCCACACCGCAAACGTGCGCATCTGATGGCTGAAAAAAATATAAAAAATGCGATATGCCATGGTGTGCCTCGATGGGCGAAGTGGTGAAGATGTAGTCTAAGGTCGCCCGAAAGGGGGCCGGACCTGGCACCAGGGCAAGCGGTTGCAAACTCTGCCAGGTCTTCCATGGCATCCGTTACATATTCGTGACATTTGACGATCTACTTCAGGTTCCAGACGAAGGCCGAAGGCAGTCACAATGAGCAAAGACGATGTGAGTGCCCGACTTCCCTCAATCCAAGCATAGTTGGTGTAGTCCTTTCCATCGGAGGGGTGCATTCTCAAGGGGACAGCTTTTCAAGTACATCCTTGCATCCTTATCATCCTTCAGCCACACACAGCCAGGACATGCAAGGACCGTGCCAGGTTGCAGTGCGCGTAGGCATTGTGCAGTTGGAGTGGCCCGGCCTCTCCATTAAAGGCCGTACAATGGAGTCCGATGAAACATCACGACGTCGCCATGTGACACCATGTGACACCAGTGACACCTGCCAGCGTGCGAAGTCGAGACCCTGATCCTCCAACGCCGCTGGCCAGGCCACCTTGCTCTTAGCGTTCAACGCAGCGACGCAGTGCGCTGGCACTCTCTGGCCCCTTCTGGCCCTCGAATGCGCGAAAGGCGAGGAATCTTGACTGGCCCACGTCCATTTCCGAAAGCTGCCCTTCCATCAGCACTTCGAGCTCGGAGTCCTCTAAAATCCGAAAAAAATCTTAAAAAGCAACGCACTCTCCCTCCACTCCCTGTATGCGCGTGTCATTGTCCCAATATGTCTCAGCTCATGATGTGTCCTCTGGCTTCGTGTTAAAGTCTCCGGCTAAGACCAGCCGCTCCTCTCCAAAAGAACTGAGTGACATCATATATGGAGACTATTGGAGACTGTGTGCTCGCATGTGCTCGCCTGCGGGAATCGCAGCATCAGGGCATCCCGCAGCAGCATTGCGTGGATTGCCTTTGCCTGCCTGGGGCCACGCACAGTGCATGGCAATATACATTTTGGCTATGGGTTGAAAACCCCCTGCCGCGGGCCGTGGGGGTCCCCCTCCCTCTGCCAGAGAAAGGGTTTCTACGTGTAAAGGTTTAGTGCCGAAGCAGGTTTGCATTCAACACTGTTTCAACCATCGTCTGCCGTTGAGGATGCCGCGCTTTCAACAATGCCTTAACCTCACAAGATGTTGAATGACATTGGTAGGTTAGATAAGTACGAAGGCCTTGTCACGGAGAAGGTTTACCGCGGAACCGACTTCCTGACCCGTTTAATGCAAGCTTTGTTGCGGGTGACCTTCCCGGGACCTGTTACAAGCCAAACCCTGTGACTCCCAGCCGATTGCAAAACGATATGAAAACAGGCAGCCTGCTGTGAAATCAGGCACCTGTAGGAAGTCATGGGAGATCAGTGAAGTCTGCACAGGAAAGGATTAAGGAATGAAGCATGAGTCATGAGACCAAAGCCTCTGCACCGGTTCATCGAACAAGCACGGCATGTGGTACGTAGCAGCGATGAAGCTCTTGGACTCGCACTTCACCTGTCACCCACATGGCCCTGCTGCCGTGACGTCTAACTCGATCGCAACGCTGCCTTCAGCCTTGCTGCCAGTAGCCGATTCCTGAGATGTCAAAACAGATCTACACTGCAGTGGCCTGCCTCAAGCTACCTATTTCACATTTTGTCATATGGCGCGGGGACGCCTCAGAGATTTGCTTTCTTATGCGCGGTTTCCACTGTAAGAAGTGGAGCAGACTCACTTTGCCTCACTTTTCTGTTGCAGATTGTAGGAGTTTGCTCATTCTGATAGAACTTGAGACTTCTTCTCGAGAACATGTAGCACTATTAAATGAAATTAAACGTATCGTCTGATGCTGCAGGGTTTCTGCTGCATCGTGGGGGCAACTGTTTTATGGAGAGCTGTTGCATGCATGAGCAGTCGGATGGCATGCAGTGGGTGTAGATGTCCCAGAAGAGCTGGAATGCTTGGGTCAAGTGACTGCTTTCGAGCTGCAAGAACCCAGGCTGCTCCCTGAGAACGCGGGACTCTCTAGCCGCTCTAGCCTCTCTGACATTGATGGGTCTGAAGAGTGCAAAGTGGCGCAACATGGCCTCGTCCCGTGCGCGCTGGGGAAAAAGCCAGTCCTTCTCCAAGCGTTGGCAAGTCAGCTATTAAAACCATCCGCTGCCCAGCCTTGAACCGCTGCCAACGGGTGGACGAGCGGGACGTTAGCTTCCTTTGCGCTTCCCCCCCCAAAGAGGTCTGAAACACACACATAGCACACCCTCACGTCGACGCCTATCTTATCAGTCTATTGAGTCCATCACACCGTCTCCTCGCTATCCATGCTGTCCAGATGCAACTGCCCAGCGGGACGGACCATGATGATCTCCTCACCCAGCACACACATGACACACATTGCTGTGACGAAGCATGGTATGGAACATGCACTGAACAACTGCAGAGCTGAGCTGCCGGCCTCGAGCTCAATATCACTGGGAAAAGCCAAGGCCACACCAATTGGTGGAAAATACCTTGCGGGTCCAGTGGGGAAGCAGCATTGGCCACCGGCCATGGCACCAAGATACACCGAGTAGATCCGAGTGGCGTCAGGGGCGTCATGGCATAGGCCTCATTCGGCTCAGATCGGCTCAGCGAACCCTCACAGTGTGACCCCAGAAACTACAAGTACCCCAGAGGATCCCAGTCTCGCCAAATCCTCTGAAGTTCTTCCGAGGGGCAAAGTGCCAGCCTCGCCTTTGGAAGTATGCGTGCAACTTGCCTGCCCAGAGCTCATCCACCTCATAATTATGCTTGGACACAAGAGTTACACAAGCACACGCAGCTTCCGACGAGCACAGTTCAAGAAGTGCACACACTTCGAGGCTCTCCCACCTCCTGCAAACAGAACACCTCGGGCAGTGCAACTCTGCATAATCCTGCGCCTGTCGAAAGTCTGATGTGCTCTGGCATAAGCCGTTGTTAGAGGAGGCGCTGTGGGAACGGAGTCCGCTAGCGCAGCCTCGAGCCTTGGGGACTCACCACAATTCACCACACCATCCACAAGTTTATCAGCACTGGCACACCTCGGCAGCACAACGTGAGGCTCCTGCTGGGCGATGAGGCGCGGCCATCCTCAGTGACCAATGGCGGCATGTAGGTTGACATTCAGGTGAGCAGTGTGATCGCACAGAGCGGGCGTGCAAACCGGGAGCCCAGTTGGCGCGCACCAGAAGCGAGCCAAGATTCTGAAAGATTCTAGCAGATCCTCGCAAGCACACAAACTGACAATTTCTCTTCCAGCTCCCTTTGCCTGAGCCACATGCATCGCAACCACAAGTCCTCTGACCGGCAGTGTGGAAATCGATTCGGGGAGCAAAGCGTTGGTGAGAGCACGTTGTACGTGACCACCCGCACATGAGCTGACTGGGCATTGCCTCCCACGACGTGGCAAACGATGTCCATGCGAGTCTCGCCCGTGCCTTGTCCTCCTTGTGCTCGTCGCGATGCACGGCCGCGAGGGTCGAACGCCCCTCGCCATGCCGAAGCCCGCCGTCTAAGAAGCCTTCACGAAAGGATGCACTGTGCCATTGAGGAGGCCCAGCGGGCATAATATTTGGGCCATTCGGCGCACTCTGCGTGCATCTGAGGGCCCTGCGCCAATCCAAAGCCTCCAGAGAGCAGCGTTGGCGGCAGCGCTGCGGTCGGCAGCGCTGTGCGTGGGTGCCGACGCGCTCCCGCGCGCCCCTCCTGGCTGTGAGAGCGGCCCGGACCTTCAACAGGTGAGACCCGAAGGTGTCCGAGAGATTCAGCAATGGCAATAATTAAATAAATGAAATGCTTTGCTCTGTTTGGTGCCTTGGTGGCCGTAGTAGCGGTTCAGTTGAGGAGGACTCACCAGATGCGGCAGAGTCCACCAGCAGGAAGGGCCCACAGTGGCATCCACACCATGCGCAAGTTCAAGCATTAACTGCTATAATTCCCAAAACAGATCTCATGACTAACCCTCGGACCGACCCTGCCATGTCTACAGGTGAGGCACTCTTTTGCATGTATAATGTATACAGAACAAATACATGGAGTCATCCTGCTCTCATGCTTGTAGCCTCGTGCAGCATGTCTCAAGAAATAATGTGCCGTTTCAGCATCAACATGGCCACGACACGCAGATGTCTATCCCCGCTGTGCAAACTACGTTACTCAGCCCGCCCGGAAAGGATGGACTGTTCGGATCTAGCATACTGCTCTCAAATGTTTGTGCCAGGTATAAGCTCCTCGGAAAACTGAAAACCTAATCTCAGATCTCTTATTTTGCGGCTCCTACTTGCTTCAATACATATATTCATGCACCATCTCAAATCGCTTAGCGTCATAGTTGGAGTCCTCGCCCACATCCCAACCTTCAAACCCCGCGTTGCTCACCTGGCTTTTCGGTCCGCTGAAAGCTTCTCAAAGCTTGAAGGGGTGCCCCTCGAACAATGGCGCTTACCAGTATGACTGGATGTGACTCGATCATCTACTCTCCCTGGACTCTGCCTGCCCCGGACTCAACGAGCAATTTTTCCAGCTCTGCTGTAAGTGTACTTACACGATCTTATTTGCACTTACCCCGTCTGACCGGACGGTCATGTGCATGCTCGAAACAGAGCCCTCAAGATCTTCCAGGCAACGCTATCCCATCATTCATCGATGCTCGCCTGGCAACATGCAGAACATCAAGCAAGTTCTGGTGGCAGTATCTCTGTGGTTTTCAGTTGCAGCACGTCACTTGACATGTTCGTTGATACCGCCTCTTACCTGCTTCAAGCACAGGGTCCCTTCACGGCCGAGACATTCTCTGGAGTCTTGGGGGGGGACGGGAATTCACCTTGTCACCTGACAAAACGGAAAAAAACAATTGTATACAATTGTATAATTACTGTATTTGTGTATTGTGTATCGGATGCATCTGATGCAGTTGCAAAGATGTTTTGTGATTGGAAGAGTAAGGGTGTCTGCAGGCAAAGCTCTCAAAAAGCCCCGGCACGAGCATGTTGGCTTGACATTCTCCACAACAGCACAGGCACACAACGCTGGCCATAAGTGCACTGACCCCATGTGAGTCTCCTCTGGGTGGGCAGACTCCCTCCCCCTTAGAACGCAGGCAAAATACCTCCGCTGCCTCCTGGAGACCTCCTCGGACTCTTGACCAAAACCTTCCAACACCTCCACGGAAGGTCTTCGGGGCTTATTCTGGATTGTTTGGTCGTAAATCTCTGATGTAGCGTTGTAGGTCTTAAGGGAGACCTGCCAGTCAAATTGCACAGCGCACTAGACATGTCATCACTGCATCCTCGTCATCCCCTGCATCATCCACATAGCGATCATCGTCCGGATGATGCCAAAGGCCAATCAATGTCTTCAAGCCAACCCTCATCTTTCAAGCCTGTCTTAGCCAGGAACTTACTTGTCATCCAAAACACGCAAGAGCCATGCTTGAGGCAATTGCGAACAAGCAAGCCCTCATCCACCCGACTCAATTTCCGCTCTGCCCTCTCAGCCCCTCCCAAACGCGATCCATCCAACCCCGGCCTGCTCCAGAGCCTGCACATGGGTTGCCAAGTCAGAACCCAAAGCCTGGCGATGGGTTGCCAGATGCCAGAAAAGAATGCTCACAGTCGGGCTATTAATTGCCATAGGACAAATTTCGGACTGGTCAGTGAAACAGTGAAACTTTAGACACGCCTTCGTAGGTTTCTTTCTGGTTGGGTTGCAGTATGCTTTCAGAACGACGGTCACAAACAGAAGCCTAGAGGTGAGTGACTTTCAACACTGCATATGGCAGACGTCGATATGGTCCGTCTATAGCGACTAGGCGACTAGTCTAGTCACATATCGAATCCGCTTCCGAGCCTCCGGGTGGTGCCAGGCGAAAGAAGCGAGGAAGTCCAGCTTCTTCGCGCCGCGCCGCAGCCGGGCGGCCCCACGCACGTTGCCTTCCTCCAAGGTCGCAACGTGTGCTTCGGAAGGCTTTTTCCAGATTCAACGGCTTTGTATTTCGAGCACGGCCGTGCTTCAAGGTTGTGGGGCTTCAAAAACGTTGCCGATCCTTGCGGTTGCAAACGCTTCTGCGAGATTGCTCTGCGCATTATCCACCACCACTGCATCGGGCTAACATCATCAGAAGTTGCTGCTAGCCACAAGCCTTGTATTTTGACCAAATTTGACCGATCTGAAATGGGCTGTGCTTGCTTTGCTGATGCCTCTGCTCTGTCCGCTGCTGCCGTCGCGATCTCCCGGGCTTCTCGGAGGGCCCTTGCCTGATCAAATCAACGGGGCAACTCGGATAACGCACACAGCGCTTCGACGCTGTGTGGATTTCGAGCTCTTTCGAGCTGCTCTTAGTGTTTGCCGACACAAGTGTGGGCACAAGTTTGCACCAGCTTTGGGTCTTAAGAGGCCTACGAATGCTAATTCTGCAAAGGGCTCCGGACGGTGCAGACTTGAGACTCTAAACTCCCTTCGGCCAAGTCCCGCATCAGGCCCCTACATTATCCCACATCCCCACATCCAGCAATACCAAAGGAAAGGCTCGATCCATGACTTGGATTGAAGTTAACCATCCGATAGAGAACGCAGCATAACCAGCCCAACAAGCTTGTCAACAATGGAACGGAATGCACGGAGTGCAGACTCGGGGCGGCTCGGGTATAAGGCTCGTAAAGCATCTGGCATGGTATTTTCGAGACGCGGCGAATTCCGAACAATAACGGCACCGATCAGCGATTTCTCCAGGTCCAGTGAAGAATAGGGGTTTCAATGGCCCCAACTTCCTAGACCTGAGCATCTTCTCCGATACGATGGGCGCTGCACCGCAGGGCTTCGCCTTTTATGTTTTCCGGCTTTAACCGAAAAGCCCCACGTCCGACAAGGAAAAATTCCAAGCCGTTCAATCTAGAACGACCTGTTAAGCCTGTTAAGCTCAAATGGCTCTAGTCTCAATTGAACTTGCCCATCGTTTCTGAAGGCTCCTCGCTCAAGCCTCCCGAGTTAACAGCAGCTGCAACTTCATTCAACTCCGCAAACGATCTTGATCCCTAAGCAGCAGTTTCGTGACTGGAGCAGGAGGCAGCAGGTATAGTTGCCCACCTGAGAATCGCTGGCCGCTTCTGCATGGGGTGGTGACTGACCTCAAACGGTCGCCGAGCTGGAGCGTGGGCCATACCTTTGGCACGGTTCATGTTGCGAAGGCCGCCCAAAGTTTCGGCTCTCCCGTCCTTGTCTGAACTGTTGGGCAGGGGACGGGGGTGCGTTTTGTCAGCGACGCGGCTGGTGCAGGGTCTCGTTTGTCAGTGCCATGGCCGAAGTTCTGGCACAAGACGACGTGGATCGTCCCTTTCCTTACCTGGGCTGACATGGCCTTTACAGCAATTGCCAGTACGACTGCAAGGATTGCCAATAAAACTGCAATGATCTACGACATTCTCATTGGAATACCGCAATACCGCTTATACTTGACATGGAGGGAGGATGGCCTCTCTCTACTTTTCTCCTACCGGACCTTTCAGTCTCGACAGTGACGCAGGTTTCCCACAACTTATGGAGGTCCGACGCGGATTTTATTTCATCCTGCGCTTTATCCTCGTTCCAGCACGGGAGATGGGCGGCTCCCTGTGTTCACCGGATTCACCGCACTTGGCCCTGATTTCTACGCTTGTGGCACTGACCAAACATGGAAGACGGTGGCTCCCAATGTGTTGCACTCCCTTTTTGTTCGGCCTTTCTAGCCCTGCCATCGTCTCACGCGAAAGGGTTGCGAAGAGCCCTGTGCAGAATGGGAGACTTAATTTCCCCATACCTTACGCATCCTCTGACTTCTATGTTTTCCCGCATGTTAGTCCCACTAAAAGGGCTGCTGACGCTCAGCGCTGCACAGAGAGAGAGAGAGAGAGAGTGCTCTGGCCAATGTCGGCTAAGTATGGATGTTAGCTGTGAGGTCAGGGAATCTGGCTGGCTGTGCTGTCCATGCACCACCTTCATCCGACTCTGTCCACCAGAACCTTTCACAAGCCAAAAGAAGGGCGTGACTTTGTCGTTGTCTTGTGGTCTTTCGAAGGATTACGTAGATCTAACAAGCCACGCAGGGAAGTCTTGTTTGGTTCCACCAGCGCTTCCTCCTGCCTGGCTCGGACCTTGCAGTTGGGACAACATCTCATGTCGACAGGTTCTCTCCATGGCACGGGCCAAACCTGAAAAAGAGGTTTGGTTTGGCCGTGAATCAATGGGCCCCCTGCTTATCCAAGAAAACGAATCGCGCCAACAGTTTGGACGGGTTCAACCTGAGTGCCCAGCGCAGGAACCAACTCCACGACCTAGGAGAGCAGCCACGTCGCTGATGCAATGCCGGTCCTTAGTCTCGGATACATGGACTCTTATGGGCATGGGCCATTGGCTTACCGAATGTCTTGCAGATTCGTGGAGGTCTTGTGACAGTGAGGAGTGAGCAGCAAAGCCTGAAAGGTCAGCCGACCAACACTGTATCTAAAACAGCGCATGCCAAGTGGCGCCCTATGCCATCCATGGGCTAGCTACTATGCCCGAGCAACTTGGCAACGACCAAAACTGCACAGAACCTCCCTCTTCCATCTTACGGACTCTATCATAGCCTTGATGGCTTTCACTGCCTTGATGGCTTTCGTGTTGGAACTCTCTCTGGAATCAGCGCCGGAGGATCTCTGATGAAGATGGAACAAAGGATGCTCCACGCACAACATGGATCAACTGTTCAGGGGGCCGAGGCATGGGAACCTGTACTTGTACTTTGTCATCGCTGCACATTCTGTGAATTATCTGGGCACACTGCGAAGCTAGCACCGAAGCCACCACCGGGCAGCTTCACAGCCTCATTTGCACAGCTGTCGCGGGGTCCAAAGAGCACTGGGCGACGAGCATGTAAAAGGAGTGAAGACGAACATCATTTCCAAGCCC